TAAAAATTATTATGTTTTAACTGGACGTTTGGATATTGTTGATTGTGACTTGTTGTTCCTATGTGTTGCCTTTTCTTATATGGGCATTCTATTTTGAAAGAGGATTTTNTAGGATTTTTAGCCATACATACTAGTGTTATTCGACAGTACTAACGTCCCTTTTGCCGGGGGCGCTGCATCTTTAATGGATGCAGGTGGTTCTTCAACAGGCGGCATTGATCAGTGATAGTAGTACACTCTTTTCAGCTGATTTGGTGAGCCCAACTTCATTTCGGGGTCATGTATCTTTTGTTTCTCATGTACAGTGTTTTGAGGTATAGTCGGGGACTTATTGCCGGCATTTTCATATTACTCTTCCATTGTATTTAGAGGCTCCGTAGACAGGTTGTGAGTTATGGTTGATGTTGGGAATTGAACTAGAAACGTTGGTACTTGGAAATTATGTTTTTCATTAATTCTATAAACTCGTAATATTTTTGGAAATTATGAATGAAGCTACTAATGAAAATGAAAAAGAAGTTGTTAATAAAATCTTTTCAGTGATTGATTAATGGAGTACATCTCCTCTTTATTCATGGATGAGCTTGGGTAGAAGTCTAATAGGCTTGCTCGGCCGGGTTCTCTCGGTTGAGCGTCGGTCGCGCTCCCTGAGTTTGGGGCATGACAGTTACCACGTTGGAATCCTAATTCCGGTAATCAAAAAAATCAAAAGTGGTAGGATGTACGCGGAACAAGCCTGAGACCCGAGATCTGAAAAAAATTCGGAACAATTTGATGGAAAGCTATAGACTTTGCTAGAAAAGTAGATGCCATGTATTTCGGTGATCGAAAAAATCAAAACTGATGGGGAAAGACTTTGAATGTTCCAGGAGCCCAACAGAGAAAAAAATTCCAAAACAACTGGCCAAAAGGAGTTTGTGTCATGGACAGCCACAAAGAGAGACAAAACTCAACCTCTTTCATAAAAATGGAATCCTAGTGTTGCGAGGGAGATAGCTCACCTCAAAAAGGCAATAATGACTCTGATACAATGTTGAAGTGTGTAAAAAACTTAAGTTGTTAGAGAGAACACACTTTTATTTACTTAATTATGTCTTCAACAATAAGACAACAGATTCAACGGTTGAGGTGCCAATTTAGTTAAAGCATAAATGTATAGTATTGTGGTAAAAATTGGCTGACAAAACCACTATTTGGGTCAGCTATTAAAATTTAGCTAGTATTTAAAATGTAATGAGAAAATAACACTCTTTAGTGAGAAATCTTTTTTGGATGAAAATACCCCTACTTAAAACACGGAAGAACTCTAAGAACGATTAGTGGAGTTTGAATATTTATGAGTTCAAACTCCATGAATAATTCATGTACTTTGAAATATGCAGTTGAAACTCCAGGAACGATTCACAGAGTTTGCAAGTCCATATATGCACTCGATAACATTCAAGGTTTTCAAGGTAGATGCCCGGATTTATTTGGTTTTGCTATTTGAAATTCAATTGGTTTTTAAATTGTGGAGCTAAGATCGATTTTGTCTTCGGATTTGAACTTGTGGAGGAAAATTTTGGGATTCTATTGCAGGGTCTTTCGAAGGTCGAACCTAGTGCTAGAAAAATCTAAGTTGCTGCTCAGTTGAAGCTAAAATCATATGGGCATTGACATATCGTAAAGAAAGTTGACTAAGTATTTCCATCGTGACTGACTGGGCTGGAACCCGTAGCTATCGCCTTGACAAGGAGATGCTCTGTCAAATTGAACTACAATCCTAGAAAAATACGAGATCTAGCAGAAAATTTAATTTTTTTTTTAATCTCTGGATCGAGTATTTTTGAAGTACAAAGGGGATCACCTTTCGGTGTGTACTTTCCTTAATTATAGATCAGATCCACCAGACAAGAAACTCAATTTCGCGCTGCTATTGAGTCATTGGACTTATCCATCAAGGGATTCAAATTGCTGATTATTTTAACTTTGATGATTATTGATATTTAAAGAAAAACAAAGAAGAAGAAATTCAAAATTTTAAATGCTAGTCTTCAAGTAGCGAATTTGGTAATGCATTAGGTTACGGAATCTTAGTTGTTGGTCTTCAACTATTATAGCTACTGAAATCAATGGGAAAAACCAATGTGAAGTCAAATTTATTTATATTTGTTGGGTCCAAATGTACAAGCAAGTATACGCGGTCGACAAGTAATAAAGTGATAAGAAAGTATCGTTCCCACGAGAATTTATGATCAACTATTGTCCAATCTAAACTATTTATAAATTTATTGCTCAAGTGGTTGTGAAGAAAATGATTGTAATTTTTATTAACTAAATTACTACGAAACTAATAAGCAAACAAGAAAATACGATCGCAAGTAGAGCAAATAAACACTTAGAAATAACGGAAAAGGGCCAAATATATTCTTGTACTATAAAAAAAAATTAAATGTACCCCTCGTTATACTTTGAGTCTAAATATATCTCTGTCGTTATACTATTGGTTCAAATATACCCTTTTTTCGTTAAGTTTGTCCAAGGTAGACATCCAATCCTATGTGGCATTGACATTTTGATGAGGTGGATGCCACATGGCTTGCCAGCTCAGTGCCCCTAAGCCATTTTACCCCTCCCTTCAATATTTTTTCCACCACTAAAATATTCTTCCCCTCCACCACTATTGTCACCATTACCGCTACCATGAAAAATATTGTATTTCAAATTTATCTTTTATATATGGATTAGAGGCGTTGAGGTGGCATGCCATGTGACATCCAGCTCATCAAATATTAATACCACGTAGGATTGGATGTCCACCTTGGACAAACTTAACAGAAGAGGGGTATATTTAAATCAATAGTATTACGGCATGGATATATTTGAACCCAAAGTATAACGAAGGGTATATTTAAACCTCTTCTCATAGTACAGGTATATATTTGGCTCTTTGCCGTAGAAAGAATTCAATGAAATGGAGATATTCCAGGGTTATGGGATTAACATCTCTCCTATTGTGTTCTTCGGGTTGATGTAATCACTTGACTTATCTAATATGTTGATTAGCAGGGTTTATTATGCTCGTGAAGTTCTTTCGACGCTTCGATCGCCTATTCAAGCCAACCTAAGACTATATGTCTATAAAATCAAAATTGACAAGAACGCGTGTATATTTCTTGCAAGAATAACTAAGTAAGGCAACTAGAATATGTCTATTCTAATCGCGAATCTATTCTCCGATACCCAGATTCAAGAAGTTACTCTACTCAATCTTATATGCAATCTATACTTCCCACTTTCGAGTTCAACTATAAATTCGTAAATAGTACTCTATTGTTAGCTACGCAATAGAATAATTAAGTGCAAAATTGAATAAACAAATTAATATGATAGAATCAAGCAACACAATCAACCGTCAAATTACAATAGTTAAACACCACCCATAACCCCAGAATAATGAGGTTCATAGCCACCCATGATAAAGTTAAACAATTTCATAAGTGTTGAATAGTTGAAAATACTAAGAAAGATGACGAAAAACGGAGAATCCTTGCTCCCGAGTGTTCCGTGCTTGTGTTTTGCTCTCAAAATGGCGTCTCTCTCTCCAAAATAGGTATACACTTCTTCTAGCTCCCGAGTATTCTTTTTATATGAGTTGAGGGTGTGTAGGGCCGAAATAACTTTGTCCCACATGAAGTAGGAGACTTCCCGTCACCGACCTGGAAAAATTTTGCATCTGTAACATTTTTTCGTTTTGTTCCCTTTTTACTTCAAATCGTGCACTTTAGTCCCACATTACCTCCGGATGACTCCTACACATAAAAATACCACGAATTAGCATAAATTATTATATTACACATCCGAAATCTACGAAACATGAGTAAAATGCGAGGCAATATGCAATAAATATACATACTTTAAGTCGAATATCAATATTCACTTATTAGAAGAGCTTAGTTCGAGTTTGGAATGAATTTCGAACTCCAGCAAGTAATGTTGGAGTTTTAAATTTACAAATTCCAAACAACACTGTGTATTGAAGTTTAACAAGTAGTATATTTTTGAACTCAAGTATAATGTGTTGGGAGTTTCATTTGTCTAAACTTCAAAATCCAACACCGATTATTTAAGTTGTTTCGTGTTTGAATTAAAGGGTATTTTTGTCTGAAAAAATTGTTGTGTGACAGGAGTGGCTAAATGCTAATAACTTTTTAAAAACTAAGCTCTTATAGCAGGAGTTAAAAGGAGCCTATTTTCTAATTTTCCAGTATTCCGAAGATGCCAAGGTTGAGCTAAACTAGACAATACCTTAATGTTAGGCCTATGGCGAACAAGTGGTATTAGTACAACAACAAAATATGAAACTTGTATTAGGCAAATCCCATATTGTAACGGCGAGATCAAATATCTAAGTGTCTAGGCACCTTTTGGGTTATATTCCAAGAGGACAAAATCGTAACACCCCAAAGGTTCAATAGCCATACCAGTGATTTGGAGATCTCTCGAAAAGTATTTGAGTCAAAGCATACAATACCTTCACAGCTTAGCCTAAGTTATTAAAGTTAGTGCCTCTCCTTATATGGTTGTGCAGTAAACCTTAGCTAGAATGGTGAATCCCTAAGAGAGTGCATGTAAGCCCACAAACCGTTGCTTCTTAATCCCGTAAGGGAATTTCCTGTGAAACTTGCCTCAAGTTACTGATCATAAGGGGTGAGTTAAAAAATTCAATGGATGACAAGTTTAGAACCCAAAGTTCTGCAGCCAAAATTCTATGCATTCACATACTTCGTCTTATACCATCTTCATACAAGGGGAAGAAAGAAAATACAGCTCTTTAAGAAATTTAAAGTTAATTTGCAATGCTTCATACTAGTACAACCATATTACCTAGCACCTACAACTGTCTTTTGTTTTCTTCCCCCCTCTTGGGCAGATCTCATGATTTTGCTTGAAAACAAACAACGTTGCCCCTCAAAGCCTGGTCTTTCAAAAATAATCTACAATTAATGCAATGCGTGATATTAATATTCCTCAAGACACGATTCAAATCAAAATGAGAGAGTTAGTGTTTTCCTTTACAATGAATAAGGATAAAAAATACTTCATGCATAGTGCTATCCTTAACAGTTCCGTCAAAAATCGAATATCATTTGATATATTCAGTTATACCAAAATTGTCCATACAAACAAAGTAACAATCTCAAAAGCTTAAAGTTACTGTAGGCTCTTTCCCAGCCTGGTTGCCCCTACTGTGAACTGTATTCTCGTTCAATAATGTTGCTGAGAAGGATCATGGAAACAAGTTGGAAGATGCTTTAAGTGGTTTAGCTGCAGCATAGCACACAAATTCTGACATGAATAGGGGGGACGAAGTCAACATGATTCCTCCTCAGGTACATTTCAAGCACAGAGCAGTTATTAGGTAGATGAACGCAGTTACTGGTTTTGATCTTTGTCATAGAAAAAATGTTACCCCAGGAATGAAGAGTTAGTTTTCAAGAATGTTGAAGCAATGAGTTGACATAAGGATGCCAAACATGACCTTAGACAACTCAATCAACAAAATTACACCTTCACTGAGCATCATCAGATCAAGTGCATGACAACAAAAATCTGATTTCCATATTCGAAAATATCTCAATCATAAATCTAAAGAAGAATTTTGCAGTAAGCACTCTCTACTTTATGCCACAGAAAATGAAAAGTTGATTTTTTTTAATGGCAAAAAAATTCGAGAAGAGATACTGGGGAACTACCAGCAACTTTTAGATTTCAAAAAGCCCTTGGTCAACTGGAACTTCTTGTGCATAATGAAACACCTTTTAAACGTAAGTTTAGCGTCCCAGCGCATGGGGCAGTGCAACTGCAAGCCCAGTAGCTGGTCAACCAAGGTTCAAGTGCAACAATTGCCCCATCTCTCAAGGATGCAGAGGATTCCGGAGAACAACAATCTCAAGTTCTACTGCCACTCAAGTGTGCAACGGCATTCACTTCATCCAGCAGGTATAACGACAAATGATATCGTCTTGCATTTAGTTCTTCCAGCCCTGTTGCATTTATTACCGTACAAATCACTAATATCATTTCGCACCTACTTGTCATTTGGTTAAACTGACTTCATGTTCCAATGTGTCATTCGGTAATATCTACCATCTGAGTTGACACATTGGGCAAGGATGCCCCAGCTCTCCCACAACATTTCTGTTGATCTTAAAGTGTGGAAGACCATTAGGCAGATATTTCCCTTTATCTCTTGCTAGGCCTGACAAGCCCATCAGTTAGCTGGAAATGTGAGCTTGAACAGAGCCTGAAAACATGAAAAACTAATTAAGTGTAGCTTCTTGCATGTGGTCACTAACGTGTAGGAGAAAACACAGGAAAAAGCTTAAATGACAGGAATAGTTGGTGCAAACACAGATTGGAAACATAGCCAACTATGAATCAGATTGTTCAAGGAATTGATATATCTATGACCAAATAGACTAGTACTATATGTCTTCCCTCAAAGGATATATTTGGAAATGATATTACATAAAACTTTCCACGCTCATATCTGACCCTTCTTTCGTCCGAAATATGTGAATGGGGATCTGAAGTTCAACAGATTAAAGATCATAAATTTACTGACAGTCTCTCTAAATCATTTCTCCATGTAAATAACATTACTACAATCTAATCAAAGTTGTATGTAACAGTTGCTTCAACAGTTTACTCATCACGAATAATGTCAGATGTACAGCAACAGAAGATGCTAGCTTAGTGGCTTTAAGAGAAGACTAACAGATACAGAGGAATATGAGCAACAAAATCAAAAAATCAGCAAGTCAAAATGCAACTTGCAAGTGGAAGTAGATCAAAGGAATATGAATCTGAGTATAGCCATTAGTAGATTTAAAAAGTAAAACAACAAAAGAAAAGCCTAGAGATACTTCAAACAAGTTACCTAGTTCCAGATGGATGGGTTTCTAAACTGAGATGACATTGCCTCTAGTAGAAACTTGACGAGGTTTCCTCTCTCCACTTCTTTTTCCTTCTTGAGCTCAAGATGTCGGACCTGGTCACATATCAGTAGGAAGAACAAATCATTTTGGAGGTGGAAACATAAGCTATAAAGGTTACCCAGAACAGAGTTTCTGAAAATTTATTTGCCTCCACAAGGCAAAGTAGTGCCTTCTCCAAATAGACAATCAATTCCAACATGAAATGATTTTCAAAAACTTCATTATAGTGCTAAATCTTAAGCTACTAAGTAGAAGATAATAGGGAGTTCCACAATAGTCCATTATTTAGAATGTCATTTCACAAGAAACATCCTTACATTCTGTAGCAATATCAGCAAATGGGTCAAAGATAATCAAATGACATATGGAGAATATTTCACCTCATTAGACATGATGGCATCACAGAAAAACAAATTCTCCTAAATGTGTAAAGATCATGAACAGTGATTTTCCGTCAAATAACAGTATTTCCCCTAGGATAAGTTCTATCTCCGATGCATCATTTTTTTCACAACAGCTCCATATCTGAATATCCTCAGTCATTGTGTGAGACAACCATAGAAGAGAGAAGTATAATCAATAATGGAATTGCATTGTATTGTTACAAGGAGGCATTCACCAAAAGATTGCATTTGGGTGTCTCACAACTTAATAAAGAACATCAAATGAGAAAGTAGTGTGAACATGTAATAAATGTCGTCCTACCTTCACTGAGTCCTTTTGGGATACACAAGTGTCAGTGATGATGACAAGGCATTTAATGTCATGCTCATTAGCATATTCATACTGTTCCGTGAGGCTTGGATCGCATAGAGGAACAAATTCAGCCTGTGGAATGTTCAAAACTTAGTTCAGATACTAAACACATTCAAGCGAAGAGTGTGGTAATTGAACAGCTAACCCTGATATTTTCCTCCCAAAGCTCTGCCAATAGTTCCATCCGCTCTATTAATAGACCACCCCCTCCTCTTGAACAAACAAGAACATTAGTGACAACATCATATCTGCATGTTTATTACTTTAACTTTAGGTAAATGATAGGACAGTGAGCAAGTAGGAAACTATATATAATAAAAGGAGAAGCAAAGCCATCATATTAAGCCAAGTGGCATAACCATAAGACAATAAATGTAAAATTTTAGGGCAAAGCTCCAAAAACGTTGGAGTTTTAAAATTATTTATAATAAAAATCGAAAATAAGAAAAAATAAAAAACTACCAATTCAAATTGGGGAGTAGTTTCAAATTGGAGTTTTAAAATTATTTTACGATAAAAAAACGAAAATAAGAAAAAATAAAAAACGACCAATTTAAATTGGGGAGTAGTTATAAGTAAAATAATTATATGATGCCAAGTTGCATAACCATAAGATGATAAATGTAGATTTTTAGGACAAAGCTCCAAAAAAGTTAGAGTTTTAAAATTAGTTTATAATAAAAAACGAAAATATATAAATAAAAAAATTACCTATCCAAATTGGAGAGTAGTTTGGAGTTTTAAAATTATTTTAAAATAAAAAAACGAAATTAAAAAAAAAATTAAAAACGCCAATTCAAATTGGGGGAGTAGTTTTAAGTTGGAGTTAAAAAATTATTTTAAAATAAAAAACGAAATTAAATTTTTTTTTAAAATTGCCAATTCAAATTGGGCGAGTAGTTTTAAGTTGGAGTTAAAAAATTATTTTAAAATAAAGAAACAAAAATATCTATTTATCCATATAGAATAGGAGACGCAAATCAATGTGATAATGCCAAGTGTAACAACAAAACTTTAACAAGTGTCAAATTTTAGTACAAAACTTCAACAAATTTGGAGATTCAAAAATTATTTTTAAAAAAAGATATATAAATATATAACTTCAATGTAGAGATATATAAAATAATAAGACTAATTTATTTTTTAGATGACAACGTTTTTCAATAATAATAATGCATATGGTCATGCTATATGCTATATGGAAAAGATAAAACTAAAGACAAAAACATAAACAATAATTTCAACAAATAAGTAAAATATATAAAGATATAATTTAACTTCTTATGTAGTAATCTTAATAAAAAAAATAAACTTTAATATTAAGTACAGACAACAACAACATACCTAGTATATTAAGTACAAACGGGAAGAAAATTTAATTTAATTTCTTATTGAAAATAATACAAAAATAATAATTATTACAATTATTAATAGATTTATCACATATATTAAAAGAACTTCTCCATTTAACCTTTGAACTAATTCAACACCATCCATTTAGAAAATTATAATAATCATATTCGTATTATAAATAAACACTAAATGAAAAAAAATTAAACTATTGTAGAACAAAAACTAATGTATAAAGAGGAGAATAGATATAATGTGATTATATCTACATTTTAAATTTATTTGATAAAATTAAGTCAATAAATAATACTCGAAAATATTATTGATAAATTTACATATCAAAATTATTATGAGAAAGTCATACAGGATAAAGCCAAGTTAAATTTCAAGAGTAATACAAAATTATATTCATTGTATTATATTAAATTGATACTTAATTAAAAATTCATATGACAATTTAATAATATTATGTAATGGATAATACAATTAGATAAGCAAGAAACAAAAAAGAAATAAAATATAAATTTGTGGGAAAATATAAAAATATAAGACTTATAATTAGAATTATGATGAGAAAGTCGTACATATACACATATCCGCGCATCGCGCGCGCTCTAACACTAGTTATGGTAAAGACAAAATAGTATCAATGTCATATCTCTAGGGGGCAGCCTCGTGCACGAAGCATCCTGCATTCACGCAGGGTCCGGGGAAGGGACGCACCCAAGGGGTGTGATGTAGGCAGCCCACCTAATGAATCATTAGTGGCATTCTACGGCTCGAAACCGTGACCTATCTAATTGTACCGTTGTTTCCCTATAGGTCATAGGGAAACAACTTTACCGTTGCTCTAAGACTCCCCTTCTATCAATGCCATATCTCTAATTAATTAAAAGATAGAGAAAACAGCACCTGTAAGGTCTGAACTCTAGAGAAGAAGCATGTTGCAAAATCGTCTCTAAGGCAAGACTGCTCCCTGCAGCTCCAGGAGGATTTGATTTCTGGAACATTTCACGCAGGACAGTACAAAATGAGACAAACAAAAAGAATGACTCAGAAATAAATAAGCAATAAAACCTTAGGATTTGGAAAATTACGATGACACCACTTCCTCCAGCTTATTCTATTTAACATAATTTGGATGCAGAAGATGTTAATCAACTTACCTTTCACAAGAAAATAACACACTCAGCTTTCAACGTTTGGCAAAGTAAACCCGTTTGATGCCATTAGTGGAATAGTATTTGTAACACCCCGGAAAATTTTGAAGAACTTGAGTGTAAAGCCCAGTAAAATTTGCAAAGAAAATAATGTTTCATGGTGCCGGACTAGGATTACGTGTTTGAGGATTGTAGAGGAAAGTAAAGGAAAACTTTTGGTGGAAAAGTGCATTTTTGCGGTCCATTATGCGACCGCAGAATCACTCTGCGGACCACATAATGGCCGCAGAGTGAGGCAGTTAATTGGGTCAGTTGGAAGCAATTATGCGGTCGACTATGCGACCGCATAACTGTTATGCGGTGTACTATGCGACCGCAGAACAGTTATGCGGACCGCATAGTGACCGCAGACTCGGGCAGATTTTTGGTCATTTTGGACACCAATTATGCGACCGATATGCATTCCGCATAACCATTATGCGGTCGCATGACCGCATATGCGACCGCAGAACCTGTTCCGGAGCTTCATTTTTGGGTTTTAAAACCCGACCCTATTTCGTTAAATACACTCTTTGGGTCATTTTTTAGGTATAATCTGATATTTTAGAGTGAGAGAGAGTGCCCTAGAGTGAGAAGGTGTTCCTCAATAATTGATTCTTCAATTCTTGCTCAAGTTTTGGAAGATTAAGGAGGGAAACTCACTAGGTCTTCATCCTAGAGGTAAAATTTTACACCCTAACCCTCAATTTCGAATTTTGTCTAGAAATGGGTAATAAGCAAGATAATTTCTGGGCAAGAGGGTTGTTTATTTTACATGCATGTGTTATCAAAGGGTGTAGAAAGATTGTTGAGCTAAAAATGGTAAAGATTGGGTTGTGGGATGATGGAATCCTCTATAAAAGGGCCTTGAACCTTAATCCACACTTAGTGTTTGATAAAATGCTCAAATGAGCTGAGACCTCTTCCTAATTATGGTTCAATTTTGTTATGTCTCAAATAGATTGGGATTGCTAGAATTTCTGGAACGTTGTAGTAATTTAAGGAAAGCTCAATTGAGGTATGTTGGCTAAACTTTCTCTCTTGGAATTGAATTCCATAATGTTTTCGTGAGTTGCAAAGTATGGGTTGCGTATTAAAATGTGGTGGCTTGAATCGTATTTCAAATGAAAGCTAGTATGCCAAATTGTGTGAGAAAATCTCAATATTTTTATGACTCTTAATTGCTCATATATGTACCTAAAGTCTTGATTGGGAATCTCTTATTGTTGATAACCTATAAAGATGGTTGGAAGTGAAATCAGTAAATTAGGAATATAAAGTGTTGCCAACGTGCCAATAGTGAAAGTTATACTTGTGCCCAATGGTGCCAATGAAATGAAATAATATGAGAAAGATTATGAAATGAGCTTTGACTCAACTATTCCAAAATTGACTTCGACAATATAATCGGCTAAAAGTTTATGAACTCAAGTGATGCCCATATGTGGCTATTTTAGCTAATGCTATGTTTTGTAAGTAATTATCAATGTGTTTTGCGTTCTTACATATTCGTGAGTGGAAATTGTATATGATTTTAACTTGTACTTCGATTGCCAATCATTTTACTCCATTTATTGGAAAGAAATCGATTGTGTTTAAAGCCTTCATTACTAATGAATTTAAAGTTGTGATTTCCGGAATATTCTACTTGTTGATAATTATGATGATGATCTATGAAAAGGAAGAAATGAAAGTGTGGAATATGAAATACGGCCATTGCGCTATGAATAAAGAATCATATGTATGGCCAAGAGAGCCAATGGAATAATAATATAGTAAGTGGTTGAAAGTACGGATTAGGTGATATGTGGTGTGAAAGGTTATGAGATGTACGTATTTGTACTTTTGTTTCCAATGTGTTATGAAACCCTATGGACGGTCTATGAAA